GAATTCATTGCTTCAGCGAAACCTGAAAAAGCCCGTCTCTCTCTCTGGGTGGTCTTTTCAATGCTTCTCCTACCTATGGCTTTATCCTGACCTAATCAGTCAACCTTTATGTAAACAAAAGTCACTGACAGAAGCACAGTTTTAGATTTTTACCACGTTCCCACATAATGTTCATTCACCCTGAGATGGGAAGGAGCAGGCAAGTTTCAGTTCTCCCTGAACTAGGGGCTGTAAGTGCATGCACTGAAGATCCAAGCATACTTATTGCAATTAGTTATTGGAGGGAGCACATCCACGCTGGGAGCTGTGCAATTCTCCTGATCCCTGACTCATTCTGTACCACGCTTTGGCCTCACTGCCCCTATATGCATTCCTGCAAATGTTCTGTTTCTCTGAAACCTGTGACACTTGGAGCATACTTCGAGGACCTTGAACGCGTGCCCAAAGACTATAATAACTATTTAATTAATTAGGAGATTTTACTAAGAGTTCAAGAGGGGCTTTTCCACAGTCTTAAAGCTTCTTTGTGCCTGATTTTTCTCACCCTAAATAAATGGCCATGGGCCACATACGATGAAGCACTATGAGCAACCTGCAGCTATCATGAAATAGCTTTCTGTGCTTCTCCAAGCTACTCCAGATCTTCAAAACTTCTGCAGCCTAACACTATATTATTTGCATCTTCTGCTAATACTTGCAATCTCAGCAAAAGCAGCAGTGACATATAAACCTGTTCCTTTTTCTAGCATAGACATTCTTAAATATTTTCTGTGAGTAACATTTTGGAAGCTTTCCACAGCAATAATAATATAGAAAATTGAACTCAGAGACATAGAAGACTTTATGAAAGATGCCACAAAAGGACCCACTATTTTTAAATCATCTAATATTCTGAGTTTGAAGGGATCCACAAGGATCAAGTCCAACCCCTGGCTCCACCCAAAATCAAGTCCTGTGTCTGAAAGCATTGTCCAAACACTCCTTGAACTCCAGCATTTGGGGCCATGCCCACTGCCTGGGGCAGCCTGTTCCATGCCACCAGGCGGGTAACTTTGTAACACTTGTGCCCACTTGCTTTTTCCTGGAATAACACATATTAGTAAAGTTTATACTAGTTTGGAATACGGACCTGACCATTTACATTCTATAAAGACTATTGAGATACTGAAGAAATTTCAGAGAAAAATACAAAAGTATTAAATGGATGAGGAAAGCACCCAACTGCAAGAGAATTAAGAGCTGCTGTTATCAGCAGGTGTTTGGAAACAGCAGTGGATGGATGCATGGTGAGAAGCACCAGAGAACAGAAAACATTTAATTAAACGAGAATCTAAATCCCGCTGGCAAAACACAGAGGAATTCAAATTATTGTGACTAATTTCCACTGTAACTGGAGCAAAGTACCAAAGGAAGTGGTGGAGTCAGTGTCACTAGAAGGCTTCAAATATCTTGGATGTTTTATGGTAGACTTCTGAGAAATACACCTTTTTTCCCCAATCAAGAGCAAGAAAACATGCTCAGCTAGCCTCACCAGCAACAGCCAGTATCCAGCAAAAAAGCATCAAAACATTTATTTCTATATATAAGAACATTTCAAAATGGAGTTATCAGAAGAAAGCCGGATATGAATAAATCAGTCCAACGTTTTAGATCACCTGAACAGGATGATGATTATAGAGCCATAACAAAAAATATTCAAAGAATTTAATAAACAGCTCCATCTTCCCCAAAGCAATGGTCCTGAAGCAGACTGAATGAAACATAGGGATGTCTCCTAAAGCCAGCCCTATCTGCAAGAGGTAGACTGGAAACACAAACTGTGAAACACTGCTAAGTTTTTCCTTAACTGGTCTATGACAAGTGCCACACAAAAATTCCCTCATGTCAGAGAACAGCAGAAAACATACTTTTTTTAAATCTATCCGTTTGAAGCTGCAATCTATTAGATTCATGGCAGTAAAAGTTAATGTTTCTGATTTAATGCATTCTGTTGAGATTTAACTTTTTACCTGCCTCTTTGTACTATTGTGAATTGAGGAAAGATAATACCAAAGTAAAGAAAGACTAGAACACAGGAAAGTAAGTGAAGATTCAGTGACTGCAGATGAAGGAGCGCACACTCTTTAAACCATCTTCAAAGAGAGGGGAAAATGTTCCTGGCAAGCACTATAGTTTTGCATTTTCAGAATTTTATTCAGCAGAACTAACTGTGCCTCTGAAACATGCCTGTGCTCAAATTCATCAGTGACCTAAGCCTTAATTCCCTTCCACTGGACATTTTTTCTGGAAAGAAACTATAGGCAATAAGCCTTTTTTTTTTTTTTCTTCTTTTTTTTTTTCCCTCCAGTTGGAAACAATCTAAATAGCACAAATAAATGACATGTTTTTCTGAATATTCAAAGAGCTTTAAGTGCTGACAAGACTATAAGCAGGTGCAAGTTGCAAAAGAGGAAAATCTAAATGATTTGTGAATGCTGTTATTCACATCAGGGACATTAAACAAAAAGCGTGTTTATTTTTCTTACTACTGTTTGGGAAAGTGAGAGGCATCAAAAAATGGAGGTGAAGCAAACTTCTGTTTTGCAAGACTCTGCTTATGTTTTATCTCCTTCTCTACTACTATTTTATCTCCTTCTCTCCTACCCAACTATATGCTTTAAACAGTTTACAGCAATCCCTGCGGATTCTGAAGGAAGTTTTAAAAAAAATAATAAAAAAAAAAGAATGACCTTGAATCTTACTGGAAGAGTGGTGAAGATAAATTGCCTTTACCTCCTATCTGTCTGTTCAGCAAGCACAGGTAGAAGGAGAATAAAGTGTTCTCTGTCCCTTTCTGCAAATAAAACCCTAAATTCCAAAGGTATAAAATACAAAATGAGAAGTAGGTTTGGTTGCTGGACTAAGGCCCAGCATGGCTGTCCATGAAAAACTTTGTTATCTCTCAGAATGGTTCTGCTACAATGCCTTGAAGAAAGTGCCGTCTCCTTCCTTGCGTAGTGGGCCTCTTTAATCTTTAAGCTGTGTTATCTTGTACTTACTGCCCAAAGAAGTTATGTATGCCCCACTCCTGAAGTGTTCAAGGTCAGTTTGAATGGGAAACTGGGCAAGCTGATCAAATCACTGGCAACCCTACCCATTGTAGGGGAGTTAGAACTGGATGGTCTTTCATCTCCCTCCCATTTCAAGTCATTCCATGGTTCTATGATTCTGTTTCACTCTCCACTGTACTGATTTCTCACTAATATTTGTTGCATAAAGTCTCGAGTTGACAGTCACAAAACATCACACTGATATTTTTATTCTGTTTCTTTTAATTTTTATGGTATCATTTGGTTTTTATGTTGACATCACAATTAGATTTAATACCACCAATAAATTTTGAAACTAGAAGAAAACTCTCACAAATATTCCGTTTATCAGAAAACACTACAAAATGCTAAACCTAAATTAAGCAAAGTTGATGAACTTTAATGATATTTCATTTAAATTACTAATCAGTCTCTTCACACCAGAGAGCTGCTAATTAAAACAAATCTCTCTCAGTAAAAGGAAAAATACGTTCTTAAGATTTGCAAGTAACAACCAAAAGGAAATTGCAAGTGTTTTTATACATTTCATGTAGTTCTACATAACGTTACAAATCTGTATTGGAAGAAAAGTGTAGACAGATTAAATCTTATGCATACGCGAAAGAAACAATTACCTGCATAACAAGGATGCATCATATTTATAGGAAATGGAACCATAGGAGGAGCAAGAGGTAAACACGTTCGTGTTTTTCCTCATATCTAATGCTATGTACCATCTGTGAAAAATCAGTTTCATTCAAGAACTTCCCTTTGACCCTCAGGCATGTTACTTGTTTGATCCTGCATTTCAGCTGGGAGAAGAGATTATTTACCAAAGATGTGAAGTCCCATTCTAATGAGTTTTATAATTTAAAAATAATGTAAACAGAATTGTTGCAGAATCAAACTAGAGAAGATCAAAATTCTGTTTAACTATTCAGGTTTTCATGCAATGAAATCATGCCCATATTCAGTTACAGGCAAGATCAACTTTCAATTCTTCAAAATAGTGTATTTTCTGAAAAAACACCCCCCCTTACTATACATTCTCCACCCATGCCTGAAGCCATACACTCAAAGCAGATGCATTAACATTACTGCGTAAGTAAAACACTGGGCAGCTAGGCAAGCTTCTGCAAAGACCTCTAGAAAATTCACACTTCTGCAGAAATTCTTTTATCTTAACACCCTGAGTCCAAATCAGTAGCACAGATGGCACAGATCCTGAATATAATTTTAAAATTAAATTTAATGCCTGGGCAATAATCATCTGCAGTCAGCTTTAACCTCTGTATCCTGGCTTAATGCTAACTGGCACAACTCACATCCTTCCAAAAACTCCTCAGAAGTTTCATCCAAACTCATTTTTCTTCACATTCTATGCTATAAATGTCTCTAGAGTCTTACTGTGTATTTTCAATAGCTGCTACTCTTTATTATACTCTCATGATACAGAGTGTAATTCATTTGCATGGTTTACACATCTGTGTTCTACAGAATCTGGACTGTTTTACCAATACAAAATTAAATTGGTTAAATAAAAGCCCAAGTACAAAACTAATCAATAACTTAGTGGAGTTTTCATTCATAGACTAGCAAACAGAGATGAAACATTCAGGAAAGCCTGCCGCCACTTTTAAAGCATTAATGCATAGCTTAAAGACACAAGCTGTCAACTCATACATGTTGGCTGGAAGTGATATAAACCGAGGTAACCCCAGTGGTAGAAGCATGCAACAGCTTTCTGGATTTTCAAAAACATACTGTACAAAACTATTTGGTAGCAGAGAGACAGCAGGAAAAATCCCCTCTAAATGCAACTTTCATTGCCAGAAAAAATGTCTATTGTATTGTTTATACTTAAAAAAGAAGGGAATATATTCTCTGTATTACAACCAATGAAAAATATTTTTAAATGAAAAAATGCCTTACCTTGAGAAGTTGAGGAAATGAACATGTCTAGTGAATAAATAGGGCTGCTCAGCAGTGCTTATGTTTTTAATCAATTCCATCTAAAAAGAATTAACAAATCAAATTATCCATGTTATTGCAAGGCATACCTGGAGACAAATATAACTATCAAACAACGTACAGTGGTTTAATTTTCAAGTCAGCATTACTCAGGTTCTTCTTCACTGTCCCTCCCAAACACTATTACCAAGATAGCACTACTATTATTTCACACCTAAGCAAAAAGGTTAAAGATGCAAACACTATTATGCCATCACAAAGCTAACATACTTCCAAAAGTGGGTACCAATTTAAAGAAAGGCATAAACTAAAGAAAAAAATCTAAATTCTGCACCAGAAGTTTGCATGCAGCTGCTATCTTCTGAAGACACTGGCTCTATCAGACAGAATGCCAAAATGAAAAATCTCTGAAAATGCAACAAAAAGTGGGAGCTCAATCAATTTGGGACAGACGAGCATGGCAGAAAATCATGTGCGGACTGTACGAATATTGAGCTACCAGCCCCAATTTAGAAAGCCCATGACACCTTCTTACAATGATCACACTGAGTTCATATTGTTAATGTTCTCAGAAGAGAAGGGCTTCCTAGCAAAGCAAATAAACTGACATTTAGTTAGGTCTGGTAACTGTCAAAAAAATTGCATTTGTCTGCCTAGCTTTCAAAATGAAACAGAGGAAATAGATACTCTAGAGACTGGATATCAGATGTCTCAGTTTATTTTTTTGCCTGTTTGTTTTCATCCAGCCAAGTTACAGGAGAACTGAAACCCTCAGAACTGTATGAAGCTTTATGATATATGGGTACTTTATATGTTACTCTGTCTGTATGAACGAATGGCAAAATGAAGATATTCATACAGGAAAAAAACTCAACTCACTACTGTCACCACTATAATTCCATCTTGGAATGAACAAAGAATCATCATTATAGCATGAATACAAGATGTAAAGATTATTACCTGTTCAACACAGGGGAGTTGGACTAGATGACCTTTAAAGGTCCCTTCCAACTCTAAGGATTTTATGACTCCACGGCTATAAATGTAAGAAGTAATTACCTTGACTTTAAATGCATGGGTCACTTTAAAATAGTAACAAGAGACAAATTGGAGAGGTACATGTGAGTACCACAGGAACATCCCTTGCCTCACTCTGCAGCAGGTAGCAACTGGCCAGCACTCTGCTGATTCCCACTGAAATAACACAACACTTCTCACTGTGCTTCACCTCATGCGGCAGGCTTGAGTCAGCCTGCTGCTGGACTAGCAGGGTACTTCTGCATCGGGAACAAAGGTACTCTGCAAAGATGCTGGACAGCATCTGGCTGCCTGGTGGGTTTTTTGTTTTGTTTTGTTTCTTTTTTAAAGCTCTTGCTACCAAACTCAATCTCTTGTGCTATAATAACTTACTATAAAGCAGATGCAGAATTCTGTTTTGACTTGAAGTACCTTCACATTTAGACACTTAATGTTCAACAGGACTTGTATGCAGATGTGGATAAAGCTACAATGTGCATATGAACAAACAAGCACAAAACATTCTTTTAAAAACCCTGCCAAAAGAGTAAGTAAGGCTCAGAAGATACAACACACAGATGTCAGGAGGGAAAAATAAATAACCTTAATGGCTCACAGCCACATGCAAATTGTGGCCATATTTCCCAAGGGCTCCTCTCTCTCTGATCCCAATTGCGCTGAACTGATTTCAGCTTAATGAGCCAAATGTAATGCTCAGGAATACGAAGGAATCAGCCCTCTTTTGAAAGTGATGCAAAAAGAAATAAAATCTTCCAGTGTCTCTCAGAGGAGTAGGGCCTCTAGTAGATCTCTTCTACAAGAAGACTGGTAAACCCATGGATGACACACGGAGAGAATAAGTAGTGATCGAGACCCCTAGAAAGTGAGTTGAATGGAATGGCAATGATGGAAGGGAAGAGACAGAAGTACCATCTGGAAAATGGTCTTAAACCACCCTAAATGCTGCTTTGCTCCCTAGCATAACATCTTTCTACTGCTGTGCAACTTTCCTTAAGCTTTCATTCTACTTTTTTTCCTCCAAAATTCAATTTCTGCATTCACACTTAAACAGGACCATTAAAAAAGACCAGATCTGCAGAGGCAACTCTATAAACTGCAAACCATTTTTGAGTCCTAATGTCCACATGAGCAAGAAAACCAAGAGGCCACACTCACAGAACAAAACATTTTTCTTTAGACTACTGTTTTCATTATAATTTTAGGACCTCAGCTGGCCAACGTAAGTCATCATGCTTAACATCAGCAGTGCTATTTGGTCATTGCTGCATTGCAAATGCAATCCAGCAGATGGCACAATAAAATGACTTGGAGAGTGATTGCAAGGAGCCCTGCCCGTAAGGAAAGAAACATGGAGGATGGCTTTGTTCCAGCCACAACATCACTCCTACACCAAAACTCAACCCAGCCTTGCAAGACAGGACATCTCTCTCTCTCCCGTAAACACCTACCCTCCACCACAGGCCTGCTCAGAGCAGACCTATTTAGTTCAGGATTTGTAATAGGTAAATTCAACTTAGAACAAAAAGAAATAATCATTTCTTTGAACATAAAAAACATTCCTACTCTCTCAAACTACTGTGTTTCACTGGGAGAGAATCTGTGGTCAAAATGTACAAAGATGATAGGATATGTGATTTTCCAAGTCAGATCAGATGGTGACACCATGGTTCCCTGTAACTAATATAAATAGGATGAAAGATTATCTGAATCAGACTCTCTTTTGAGTTATTTACCTTTTTCTATACATGCTACCATCTCTCCTGAAGGCACGTAGGATCCAGGAGGCACAAGTATCTACAGGTACTTGGTATATCACTTTCATCTCGGTATTACTTTATTTCCATAAACAATTCAGAGCTCACAGGAATGAGACCCAATCATCATTTTAACTCTCAGAGATTTGGAATTGTTTCAAAATTTTCTTAAACTCCCCAAGCTGCTTAGGACCAATTCTCTATTTTTAAAAGCACTCAAGAAAAAACAGCAATGGACTTTTAGTGTGTTAAAGCTGAATTATGAATAAAGCTGGTTCCTGTCCAAAGGATGTGTAGTAGAGGGAAATGATGTGAGGACAATCAGTTAACTCCCATACGTACCACTATTTGCACATCAACAAACATAATCATTTTTCCTTCTCTGAATCCAAGAACTGGGGACAGGGGTAATTAGAGGAGAGGAGGAATTCATTTTGCATTAGTACATCTATCACTTTAAAGCCACATCAATTAGGTTGTCATTGTATACATAAATACTATACATAAGTTCTGTAATTAGAAGTTTCCAATTGTTAATTGAAAACATTACAGTAAATGGTAAGGCAAAAATTAACTCATCTTTTTCCAGAAGCCTCTCCCTTATGCCCATGGATGTTCAATGGCTGCACTCCTAATTGCTGGCAGGCAGACGTAATTTGGGAAGATTTCTTACTAAGAAAACTGTAAAAGGCACCCAACATACGGATTTCAGTTACATGTAATCTCCACAGTCATTAAGAACACCTACGTACTTTATTTAACACTAACAGACTGCACAAGCTAAATATTTACAGAAAAATCTTGGCTGGACCAAAGCTCTAACCAAACACAGGACAGACAAATGACAGGAGGAAGAAAGCAATAACATCTCAAGCAAGTAGCTCATGTTCATGCTGGGAGCCTACAGCCCAGCCCATTCCTGTTTTCTCTCATTCCAATGCCTGGAACCTGAGACCATTTGTTCTCTTAATTGCTTCTTATACCACATTAAAGATGGGAGAAAGAACAACAACGCATATGCCCCTTCCCTTCACTCCAGTGAGCAATACAGGCAGGCCAGGCAACAATGGACAAGGAGAAGGCTGAGGTACTCAACAACTTTTTTGCTTCAGTCTTCACTAGCAATTGCTCTTCACACCCCCCTCAAGTGAATGGGTCAGAAGCTGGGGACTGGGAAAGCAATGTCCACCCCACCATAAGTGACAATCAGGTCTGAAAACACCCAAGGAACCTTAATGGGTCCTGATGAGATGCATCTCAGATTCATACAGTCAACAAGCCACTCTCAATAATATTTGAGAAGTCACAGGAGTCAGGTGAAGTCCCTGGGAAAAAAGGCAATGTCACACTGATTTTTAAGAAGGGTAGAAAGAACAACATAGGCCACTACTGACCTGTCTGCCTCACCTCTGCGCTAGGGAAGGTCATAGAACAGATCTTCCTGGAAGCTATGATAAGGCACGTAAAAGAGGAGGAGGTGATACAGAACAACCAGCATGGCTTCACCAAGGGCAAATCCTGCTTGACCTAGTGGCCTTTTATGATGGTGTCACTGCATTAATGGACAAAGAAAGAGTCACTGATGTAATCTACCTGGACTTCAGTAATACCTCTCACACAGGTCCCACAACATCCTTCTCTCCAAACTGGAAAGAGACAGACTTGATGAATGCATTGTTCAATGGAGAAAAAACTTGTTGCTAGATTGTACCCAGAGAGTAGTGGTTAATGTATCAACATCCAGATGGAAATCAGAGACAAATGGTATCCCTCAAGGGTCAGTACTGGAATTAATGCCCTTCAACATCTTCACCAATGACCTCAACAATGGGACTGAGTGCATCCTCAGCAAGTTTGTAGATGATACTAAGCTGTGTAGAGTGGCTGACACACCAGAGGGATGGGAGAGACCTAGGCAGGCTTGAGAAGAACCTCATGCGTTTCAACAAAGCCAAGCGTGAGGTCTTGTACTGATAGTGGGGGTTGCCACCTGTGTACAAGTGGAAGGATGAAAGAATGGAGCACAACCCTGCTGAAAAAGACTTCAGAGTACTGGTGGATGGCAAGCTGGACATGAGCCAGCAATGTGCCTTTACAGCCCAGAAAGCCAACTGTATCTTGGGCTGCATCAAAAGAAGTGAGGCCAGCAGGTCAAGGGAGGCGATCCTGCCTCTCTATTCTGCACTGGTGAGGCCTCACCTGGAGTACATGTCCAGATGTGCACTTCTCAGTATAGAAAAGACATGGACCTGCTAGAGTGCATACAGAGGAGGGCTGCAAAAAACAGGGATCCATCCAGGGGATGGAACAACTCTCCTATGAGGACAGGCTGAGAGAGCTAGGGCTGTTCAGCCTGAAGAGGAGAAGGCCCCAGAGAGACCTGATAGCATCTTTTCAATTTCTAAAAGGGGGCTACATAAAAGAAAAGGGCAGACTCTTTAGCAATGTCTGCTGTGGTAGGACAAGAGGAAATGGTTTCAAACTAAAAGAGGGGAGATCTAGATTAATTATAAGCAGAAAGGTTTTTTTATGATGAGAGTAGCGAAGCATTGAAGCAGGTTGCCCAGATATTTCGTTCTCAGAGTCATTCTCAGTCAGGCTGGATGGGGCTCTGAGAAACTTTATCTAGCTGTAGATGTCCCTGTTCATTGCACAGCATTTGGACTAGATGCTTTTTAAGGGTCCCTTTCACTTCAAATGATTCTATGATTCTTTTCAATTTAATACTTTAATACTTCGATTCAAAAATCAAAACACAACTGAAGATACCTTAAAAGAGAGAAAAGTCAGTATTGCCAGTCATGTAACCTTTGTTTTCCAGCAAAAGTAATCATTACATTCTGAACCTATTGTAACTATGTAAATAAGCCATAAATCAAAATAAAGAGACTAAACTCACTGCAGAGCATAGCAGAAAGTAAATCCACATCTCTATAGCAATAAGTACTCCACTATCTGTATTCCTGGATATTTCCCATATGGTAACCAAACAGCTTGTAGAGTGCAAAAAAAACAAGGCAACTGTTGCACTAAAATTCAGTCTGAGCTTCTTCGAATCCTGATATTTCAGACTGAAGCAGGGAAGACTGTTTAATATGATCTTTCACTATGTTTAACACGTTTCTGCATACCAGAGAAATGTAGCAGATTATAAGGGTGGAAGACTGTGGTTGTTGCTACCTCAGAGGATTTTAGATTTTCTTATACATCTCCAAATCAATAATGAATCAAAAAAAAAAAAAAAAACAAAAAAAAAAAAAAATCAAAACACAAAAACTATCATGCCAATAAAAATCGCCTATCCCATACCCAACAATTAAGCAGAAATAGTTAAAAGAAGAAAGAATAACATGACAGTTTGCCCTTTGATCCAATGGGACCATTCTGCAAACTCCCCAGGCTGTACATGGCTGACAGCATGGTGCTAGCAGCAGCCCATATGCACACAAAGAGGCTGTGACAGCTGCAGCCTCAGGCTCTGTCTCTGCCATCAGTCAATGAGTGGGCCTAAGCAGGGTAGCAGGAGTGACACTGGCCTCCTCCACAGCCTTTTAGCTGGCGGGGCAGCCCTGGATTGCCAGTCCCCCAACAACAAGGGCCCTAAAAGGGTAGGTGATCCGCTCACTGCCTGTGGGATCGTGATGGCAGTACTGGAAAGAGGGAACTTGGGAACTGCAGTAGCAACATCTGCTCTCAAATTTTAAATCGGAACAAACTGTTATATCCAAAATAACAAACACTGAAACTTACGCTCATAAAAAGGCTACAGATAAATAACCCCTAACCACAGGACGTTGTCACTGGTAGGCCTAAGTCTGTATTTTGATCACTGCATACATCCTCTTGCGGTTTGCTAATCTTAGGGGTGACGCAGGCATTTGCTGCAGCATTTACCTGAATCAGCAGATCAAAAGAACAGCTGTGGGTAACATGAAACAGCCATGTGTAATGCATATGAATTAATCAGTACACTTTGGAGACTGAGGGTTTCTTTTTTGAGTTACTTGCATCAATATCTATTGATGGCATTGACACTTGTGAGCACATGGTTACCCAAGATACAAATGAATATAAATAATAAAATCTTTTGGTCTCAAAGTTGCAAAAAGGATGTCCTTTATAGTTTTAAGGAAACATGAGTTTAAGGGAACATAAAAAGGGGTTTCTAGGTAGAGAGGTTTCACTTGTATTTGCTTTACATCGTACAATAACATTAAAAAGGCAGATCAGTAAGAGGCTGATACAGGATCAAGGATGTGTTAGACTATGGCAACATGGTTTAGCATGGACCTGGGTAAGAATTTTTTGAAGCAAGTGATTATTAATAGTGGATTAGAAACTGCTGAATTTTACTTATATGTACTCTGCTTAAGAGTCCCAAGCTAGCTCTGCATATGCTGGCACGTCTATATGACAAATGGCTGTGCCCTGCAGATACATTAATACAGGTCCCAGAAGCTGTTAGCACCTAACTTCACTTGTAGTAACCCTTCTTATGCCCCTGGACTGACGCTGGGCTAATTGCTATGTTGAGTACATTCAAGAGCTGGCTAAATGGAAGCTAGTTTTTCTTGTAACCCTCCACATCGTGTTGCTCTTGGCTCTACAGCACAATTCTCCAGTGAACTGAAGCCACTTCAAGGATGATGATTTCTGGCACGTTACCCGGGTCAAAGCTGTATTACTGTATATGCCTTTGTATATTGTATATGCATATGCCTTTGTTTCTCAGCTTCACAAATGCAATAGAACAGGCTCTAAGTTGAGCAGGAGTAGCTTACCTGTTCGTTTTTGGTCAGTCTTGTTTTGTTATGAATGTCAGATGTTACCAGGTTGAATCCATGTTTCTCTGATAAAATTCTCAAAAGCAAAACCACAGTTCTACTCCCACACTTTCCAACTCTGTTGTAGACCACCTGGCTGGGGAAAGGAAGTACCTAAGTAAAGATTGAAAAATATTGAGTCAGTATATTGGTACTTTTGCTTCTTTGTATCTCAGTCAGAGAATATTTTGCCCGTAAGCCAACAGATATGTAGAAGAGAATTTCTAGGATTCTGCCCACATCAAAAGGATTCACTTCCAGCTAGCTATAAGCTCTTCTTATAAAAAGGCACGTCATTCAGGAGATGACAAACTGAATTTCCCCTTGTGATATAGTTTATAGTAACAGTGCAGATTAGTAGCCACTCAAGAAATATTAAACCACTGCTGATGACTTCCAGTGAAGACGGTGATGAGCTTAAGAATACTGACTGCCTCCATACAACGAACTGCAGTGAACTAGCACTGCAGTTTGGCAGCTCCGAGTGAAGTTGATCTAATGAAAGAGGAATGCTTGAGTTGCAAAACTTCAGTATTAAAAAAAAAAAAAAAAAAAAGCAGCAACCAGTTAGAGCTAAAATCAATCATTCCAATCTAAAATATAAACAAGAATCTTCTGAAGACCTAGAGAAGGAATCTGACACTGGAGAGGCATGTACTTGCACAACAAACAATACCAATCAGCCACTGCTGGGCCTGGAGGACAAATGGCAAACTCTGGTCACACAGGTGATATGCACTCAGTGTCAAACCAGACTGGCCACATCTTACCTGCCTACTGGCAGGGGTCTCCAGGCCCAAGTCACTGTTGCAGCATGCTCTCCCTCCCTGTTTGGGACATTGTTAGTTGACTTGAACTACAACAATTCCTAAGATTTATCTGAATAATTTAACAGAACAGGCAGCTGCGATCCTAGGCTCTCCTAGGCACTCCTCATGCATGTGCTGCAGGCCTCAGTATTCTTCACAGATATCATCTCTCTGAAGCTGTACTGCAGACAAGTTTTCTCGGAGCTCCAAAGCACAAAAGAGAGGGTAGAAAAGTTTGACGTTTCTTTTCCCAGTTATTTCTCCAAAATTCCTACCATAGTTTAGCAACAGTAATTGTATGATATTTATTGCTGCCTTTGAGGCAAAGAACAGAGAGGCCAGGAGTGCAGGTGGAGTACTTGTGTGACTGTACTAGTATTTTTGTGAGGCACAACTATCAGAGCTTTTAATAATAGTGAACTAAATGTTTTTAGGCAGCTTAAGTATTCTAGGTGAGAAGTTCTTTGAAAATAAACATAGCAACATGCCACTGCACCTTATATGTGTATAACCAAAGAACATTAGGATGTTATAATCACAAAATAAGCAAGAGAATTAGGCAAAGTAGACTATGATAACAAAAGAGAATAAATAGAAGGCTTACCCCTATCCTAGGCTCACTCACAAAACACCAGTAGAGGTGATCTCCAGAAGAGATCCTTTCCCACTGGTAGCCAGCTCTTAAATGGGTCTAGGAGAGATGGAGCCAGGCTTCACCCCTTCAGCAGCACAGGTGAATTGCCTTCAGCTGTGCTCCCATGGCTGACTCATTGCTTGCCTCAGGTGATCAATCAGAGGTTCAGGCCGTGACTCAGCAATTCCCATACAGTATGTTTGACTAACATTATCGAGTTTAGCATTTTTAATGAAGGAGTTTTATTACCAGGTGTATTGAAGTTCAGTTTAGAGTAATCGTGGGAATAATAAGATCAACAACACACAGAGCAGTATGGTTTGACCCCCAAATCATCCAGGGAAAGGTGGCAGCTCTACTGTCACAACTTTCATGGAAGAAAGAATTGGATAACTGAGAGGTGAATGTGTTATTGTGATTTGTGAGCGTAGAAAGCAATCACAATGTCCTTCATTACGGTAAGTCCAGTGATGACTTATGGCCACATGTCTGTCTGCATCTAATGTAAAATTGTACATTAAATTAGAATTTAGAATTAAAACTTAGAAAAATTTAAAATTAGAATTTAGAATTACCATCTTGAATACAGCAACCTGCAGGCTTGTCAAACTGAGATCTGACACAGATGGGTGAGTACCTGTCTCTGCTCCAGAGAGAAGTTTCCTCTTAGCTATTACCTTTCTTAGCTATTACAGCCAGCAGGGAAAAGCTTGTTGATTACTTTTCCAAATGAATATTTAGAAATACCTTTTATTAACTGCCAAATTACAAACTGAAGTTCATTAAACCTGCTTTCATACATTTACACCAGCTGTTTTCCACTTCTGGAATATGTGGAAAACGTCTGTCTTGCTTTTGAGTCAAGAAAACCAGTGTCACAATTGATGGAGTCATCTTTTAAATATTGTATATACAATCACAATTTAGACATGCTTCATGAAGAATTATTTTTTTTTTTTTTTTTTTTTTTTTGCTATGCGGGCCTTAGTTATTTGTTTCTATTCAGTCATGCCAGGTACAGTACCAGCAGCATACCAATGACCAATGCTTCTCCTCTTCTGTCCTTGCTTTGCCCTCTCCACGTCCCCTACAGATCTCTGTCACTATCCTAGGCACATCACAGTTTTTATAACAGGGAAAAAAAAGCATCCTCTGCAGACACAATCTGGCAGAAGCAGTTTTCTGTTCATTCAGCAGTTCTGATTTCTTCAGTATATTGAGACAGGGTCATTGTTTACTATCTATTGTGTATTGCATGGTAATTTTAGCTATTCCGTTAAAAAAACAACCTTGTATCTCCTAAGTTCCAGCTGATCCTCACTGGTAGTAAAGACAAGACTGGTGAAGCACTGACCCTGCACATTCTCCTCGGAATGCCAGTCCCTTAGCCCAGTATCACTCATGCGGAATCTCTTGGAATTCTGATCCTCAAAACACAGTGCAATGCATTTCACTGTACTTGTTACTGCCCAAATGCTACTGCTGCTTGATATTTCAGAATTTCCTCAACTTCAGCTAGATGTCAGAGCAAAATGATGAGAAATATTGTAGGCATCTACTTTGCATAGCCATTCTGGCAGCATATAGAAAAGACGATCCAGTCTGCTTTGTAAGATAAATAAAACTTGTTTGTTACTTATCTTCTAAGAACAGAATGTTTTGTCACTCCAGTATACATTTCTAATGTTCCAGAAGTCAGAGTACCACTGCTACGTGTAGTATGTCTTAATAAACCAAATAAACAAACAAAAAAACCTACATAAAACAAAAAACATAGAAAGATTCTATTGCTCAGGACCACTACAAAGAAAGAACTATTCCATGTTATATTTAATATTTGCAGACCTGTTTAGGAGCTTATATAATAAAACTGGGAAACCAGAAAATCAGAAAGTGCAAGCAGTAATTCACTGTTCTAAAAGAAGCTGGATGCAGTTTTGTTTTGTCCCTGGACAATTTCCATGGATTATTTTTTCAGCAAAAGGCATTCTGAAGTCACATTATCACATTAGACAAATATTTGGTACAGCAAAAACCAACAGCATCAAATGCTACAGGTGAAGAAGCATCTGCTTTCAAGCCTTTTAAATTGGCTAACATTGTCAGGACCTCATGGTTTCACCAACAGCAGGGCATGTATGCCACTCACATAGGGAAAGCCTGCATTTCTATTAAGAAGGCTGCAAAAAAAATGTTTCCATATACATGGCTGATGCCCTGGTTCTGCATTTCAGGTATGTCTCATGATATTTGAACAGCTAATAGATCTTCATCATAGAAGCAAAATGATTCCTCAAGCAGCCCCTAAGATTACTTCCAAAGAGAACTGCAAGCTAGAGAAAAAAATGAAAGGAGAAATAAGGATACCCTTTATAATGAATGGGAATATATTGAGATATCCGTGGCATTTTTCTGCCAACATTATACTTTATTATCAAAGGAACATTACTATTGCTACCGTTAGCAATGTTTAGTATATCCTTCTCTGTACCATAACCATAAAAGCTATTATTCCTCAAATTAGCTGGGGAAGGAATAGGTATTTGGCAATTGCTGGTTTGGTTGAGCTTTCTCCAGGACATCTCATCTGCTGATGCAGTAGTGAATGTGGGCCTCCCAGGGCTCATCTAAAACCCACAGAACACAAAAGCCTCCTCTTTTTGCAACATTTATATGAAAGTTTTCTGTCAGAAACCTCCCCCCCTTAATCTTCATCAATCTTTTCCACAGAAGCCTTCCTTTCCATGAAATTCGAAATCTCACCCTTAGTGACTTCAGAACACTACAGGTCATGAATTTAACATCTGCACTGTACAGCAGTAACTAACATTTGATTTTGTAAGAATTTGTAAGGCTATGGAAACATTAAACAATGCTTCGTAATTATTAACTGCTTTGATTTTCATAGCAGAGTTGCACTTTGCAATACAGTGAGCGAAGTTTTCCACCTGATATTTCACTCATTTCCAGCGGAATTTTACTGCACTCAGATTAAATTTAATTTCCAATTAAATCCCTGATTTGATTAGCCAATATCTTTTGGCTGAATCATACTAATATTATTCTTAATTAAAATTCTTAAAAGATTAAAATAAAAGTGGGGTGTTGTAAAGTTTCTGTTCTACATACAAACAACTTGCCAGCCAAAATCAACAAGTGATTCTAAGTCGGCCAGTTCTCACCTTTGTCTCCAAAACTCATTTTCTCAGGTAGGGCAGTTCTGTTCTGTACACAGACAATAACCATGACAACCCCCCAAAAAGAAGCCATAAAGAAATTCTCACTCCAGATAGAGAAATCTGAAATAAGGAGCCATTATTTCCAGCCAACTGTTCAGTTTAAAGGAGGCCAATATATCAATGCCCTGACTGAGAAAACATCTGAATGCACTTTGGTAAAATCGAACAAGATTCAAGATAAATGCTACCGCTCTAAGACCGCTTTAGAAGAACACAATAATTAACTGTAATCAAATCTTCACTTGTAGCACTGCTGAATGCGGCTAACTTTAAGGATTCATTGCTGGAGCTTTACTAAGGTTTTATTTACGTCACTACTCCACTTTAACACCGTAAGGCACCAGAAAGTACACCTGATAAACAAAGCCGTGCAGCAGAGAGATTTTTGGTACTTAAGCAAGTATTTGTTTAACGTGACCAATTCTCTTTGGA